TTCCCAGACTTCCTCACCTCTTCAGTAAGCTGGCTGCCTGGCCTCCCCTCTGAGGGGCACCTCCTTTGCCCCCTGCCCTCTGGAGCTACCTGGCCACATAACCCAAGGGGCTTCCTGGGACTCACATGTCTAATTCAAATGCGATTCATAAAGCCATGTTCCCTTCATGGCCGGTGGAACAGCTCCGTGAAAGGGTTTCTGAGCAATTAGGTGCCCAAAATTGTCTAGAGGGGATGTTGTAGATTCTTGCCCTGCCCCCTTAGCTCCCTATGCATTTATGTATGTTCACACAGTGCATCCAAAAGCTAAACTTTGCACCATTGAAATATTTTCTTTGCAGAGAAGGCCTTTCTGGGACCTATATTTTTATAATATAAACATGTGCAAGAGCTCTTGCTCTTCAGACTGCCTCCTGACACCTTTCACCACAGTCATTAATACCTAATGCCACCAGGATCTGAGTGACTGCCTCTCATCTGCCACACAGTAACAATAAATGCTATGCAGCACAACCAATTAGTTTCATTTCAGTGCTGTCCTGTTCCCGAGCTGCTTCTGTGTTTTGTCCAATGCTTCTTTAAACTAAAAAGCATTCCAGCCCCTTGAATAGGGAACACAAAGCTGATCTGTGGGTATGAGCTTATATAAGGATAAATATCACAATCATAATACACCTTAAAATAAAATATTGTGCTCCGAAGGGGAGAGGAGGAGTTAAGTCTTAGGTTTACTGCAATTCCTTTTCAGATTGAGTTTCTGAGACCAAGTCTAACCTTTGGGATCCAGGAGCACTTCCTAGCCTCCAAGACTGGATGCCTGTCACAATCTGACGCGGAGTTAGAGGCATAGGTCAGATCCTTCCTCCCACACCACTGAGGAGGTGCAGTGGTTGTCTACCTCCAGGGAAAGATACCAAGGCACATAGGCCAAAAGTGAGCTATTGTATTGCTCTGGTCAAGTCCCCATTCTGGAGAACTGAGGGTTCAGCATGTCAGGACATGCCACAGGGCACCTGCTGCATGGTGCAAATGAAAACTTAGAGCCTTCAGACACAAGAAGCTGGTCCTGTAAGCTGGTCCTGATAGATTTTGGCACAAGCCTTGGGCTGCTCAGGCTGGGTTAGTTTTCGACACTCCCAGTGAGAGCACTGTAGGCAGCCAAGGAAAGTCCCATGAGCAGATATTTAGCGAGCTGAAGGCAGGCAAGACAGTCTGTAATTTTGTACTGCTCTGGGCAGCCAAGTCCTTTCTTGAATCTTGGCCATAGTTTCTGAAATGTGTTTAATTTACCTTTTGTGCTAGAGGTGTTGGAATGTGGAAGAGGGATGTTGACTCTGCACGCTTGGATACTGGAGCATGTGCCACAGAAGACTGGAGAACAGGAATCTCAAATTATTGGATGGTATTGCAATAGTGTTACTGCCTTTATTATTACCATGCTATCATCAGGTCAGAAGTTCATCTAGCTCAGTACTTGTCTCCGATTATGGCCCTAACCACATCCTTCAGGGTGAATGTAACAAAAATGTTCCCCAAGTTTATCCTCCAATCTTCTTGTGACCAGTGGTTCACAGGTTTATTGACCTGTAGGTTGCCACTAGTCAAGTTAATCTCCATTATTTCTACTTTTGATCTCGCAATAACCCTTAAACAAGTGTCATTCATTGCATTTTGTGAAAATTAAATTAATTTCTTGTTTATTATTTGCATCTTTATTCTGGAAAAATGAAGGAACAAGCACTGCTAAACCAAAATGAGCAGCCTTGGCAAGAGATAGCTTCAGTTACTCAGATCCCAGCCTGAGGGTCTGATAAAAACCCCAGTGAAACTAATGGGGATTTTTCCAGAGTAGCTTTAGGTAAAAGCCTTAAAGCCACGGACGTATTGCACTCCTAGGATCCCTTAGTCCCATAATCTCATTCAGACCTCTACCGAAGAATGATTAGCACACAAATCTAGAAACTTTACTTATTTCACAATACTAAACTGCTTCCAGTGCATTCCCAGATGCCAAATTCCCTCAACATTCCCAATGCAGGAGCCAAACTCTTCAGCTTCTATCTTTGACAATTTCCACTGTTGCACAGAGAGATGCGTGATTACAAAAATCTGTGGTGGCCTAACTTAATACAAAGTAGGACAAAGATAAAATAATATACGAGTATTAACCACTAATTCAGGGAAAATCTAGCACCGTGATAAATGGTACCTAATTAAAGACATGTTTAAGTCATTCCTGAAATATGATACCTAGGACTCAGAGAGGCTAAACAAAAGAGAAGAGCAGAAGAAAGATCAACACTGCAAGGCCATTTAACTTAATTATTATGACTCCTATTATCACTGTTAGTAAAAGTAAACAGCAGTTGTTTCTAGACCTTTCATTTTTTTGTAGTGTCTATTCCTATACTTGCTCTATTGCTTAAAACCTTAGCTCCTGGAGGCATAGGATTACATCCGCTTCTTGGTTGTCGTTTTCTTCTCCTCCTAAAGCAGACTTTAAAAATGGAAACTTAACACAAGCTCGCTCAAAACCCTCAGAGGCCAAGAGAAAAGAATTCCACTGGGTTTTTTGTACCATGACTTTCGGAAAATCTCTTGGGTGTGTTTGTTTTCTGGGTTTAATTATAGAAGTCAGAAATACTAGAATAGAGACTGTGTTGGTGACCAACCTTCTGAGCCATGCTAGCAAGCACTAAGTTATTCCAAGCACATGTAACTCTACACAAACAAAAACGTAGGGGGAAATAGCAGGTAATACCTGCAACAAGATGATCAGAATCGGCCCTTTGCAAGATTCAGGGAGTCAGAAAGCAGTGGCGGGAGTGATATTTCTGGCTCTTGCATTTCCAGTGCCTTCAAGCTACAAGTAGGAAACATGTCACTCCTCCACTGGAGTAGTTTATTGGTAATTTTAGGAGGTGGCTCTGACTCTTAGAGACTGGCGTTAGACACGGAAACAAATGGCTGCTGCTCTATGACCATCACTGTCCCGAGTTAAACAAAGCTCAGATATGAGAGAGAATCAGGTTCATGGGAACTACACCTTACATCAACAGGCTATTTATCAAATGTTAGAACTGATAAAATACCACAGAATAAGAATCACAGAATCACAGAATGGTTTAGGTTGGAAGGGACCTCTGGAGATCATCTAGTCCAACCTCCCTGCTCAAGCAGGGTCCTTTCTTCCAAGAAGTTGGTAGCAATTCTACCTTCCTCCCCTTCTTACACATCACCTTAGTTTTAATTTACATTTTAATTTATGTCATTGTCAGCTCAGAAATAGCCATGACTATGTTTCAGTTCACACATATCAAGGTGAACATCACCACCTAGGAAAAAGGAAACATATTCCAGATGCAGGGCCTTCATTTCATGTACATCATTATCACAATCCTGGCCACTAAAGTTTTAACTATAGGAACGTGTAGTACCATCCAGTTTTGGTATAAACTGTGTTTACTAATCCTAAGGATTAATGTGGAAAAAGAATAGAATTGCAAATCCTATGAAAGGGAGAGACTTGTGAAAGTATACGCTGTCCCCACTGATGCTGTATGGATTTAGAGCATCTCATTCCTATCCATGTCAACTTGAAAACCTGCATGGGAAAAACATAAGGAAACAAATAATCCAAAGGAAAGCTGTTCCGGCACAAAGTTAAGGGGCCGGATATCCCTCAGTGGGATACAGGCACAAAGTTAAGGGGCCGGTTATCCCTCAGTGGGATACAGGCACTAATTCCAGTGCTGATTCTCTGTTCACACAATACATTAATTGGCATACATATCTCCCTGAGGATGTTTACGGCATGCTTTACAGACCTGCACAGGCAAAAAGTGTTTTGAGTCTGTAAATTATTCACACATTTTACATTTTAAATAAACCTGCAGATTTATTGTACAATAGTACAGCATGTGCCTTTTTAACGGAAAGTTCAGCATCACACAATAATTTTCCATTTAAACATACACAGTCCTACAACATAGTTCAAGTTATATAGAAAAGCTATATAATGAATTATTTACTGACAGTCCTGGCTACGCTGTTCTTAATGTTTATCTACAGCGAGAACAGTGGCAGTGGTTCTGGTGTTGTAACATCTAATTACTTTAACCTGTCTCAGCGCAATAAGAGCAAGCTGATAGCATTTTCTAAAGAAAAACAGAGATCATTTATGAGACACTACATTTAATTGCTAATGCATGAAATAGTAGGTTAGGAGATCTTATCCATGTAATACAAGTAAGGATTAGAAATCTATTATGAGGTCAGTTTGACGTAACATCTGCACTAACTATGCCAGAGAATCCACCACACAGGTGGTGGATGCACGACAGGAGTTGCACCATGGAACAATATTGTTTGAACTGAAATCATTATGGTTTGGAAGGGGCAGAGCAGGGTGATCTGTACAAACATTCACTTGCCTTACCACACCAGTTTACAGGTCAGAAACTCTCCTGTAGCCATTTACCCACGTGCCAGCAGTCTCTTTTGTTGGTTAATTTTTATGCTATTTGTTTTGATTTTATCTGGTTCCGTTGAAAATCGTATCATTACTTCCAGGCATACAGAGTGTGTTTTGTGTCTTACCCTTTCAAGTTGCCCCGTAGCAAACTGAGTGGGTATAACTGGGCATCCTTTATCTATGCACGTCCTTGTCCATAGGAAGTCACAAGCTACTATCAAGACATACGTCTAGATATGATTCTTTGTTTGCCACAGGAATTCTTCATCAGGATGGCAATTCAAAGGTCCACATTGTATAATGATTTACAGCAAGTGAAGCTCCCCTAAAGTTTGGAATTCAGTTATCTACTGCTTAGATATTCATCTACATGTTGAACAGTAAATTCTGGATCAGTGAAGAGAAAGGTTATTTCATCTTATTGTTGTTCAATTTACCAATGAGCACTAAACTTTGAGCCTTTTACTTTAAAAGGTCAAGTGCTATTTTTATTAAAGATTCCAAATTCTCAAAAAGCAGTATTTTCAGTGGATGTTTAAATACTCAAAGGACATAAATATGGATCCTACTCCTACACACGTGATTTTTCACTTAAGGTGGGAGCATGATAGTGCATTGTTGGTTGATTCTGAATAGTACTGAACTCCTACAACATTAACTAAAATCATATACCAATTAAAACACAGATTTCCTTCCTCTGTTTTTTTAGTATCACTGTCAATATTGAACATCTGATCATGAATTAAAATAGACCAGTAATAAAGTGCATGCTTTCAAACATAGGCTTAGTTGCTATAAAGTAGCACATCTGCAGTGATTTCAAAAGAATCATATAATCATAACAAACTTGCACCTGCTGAAGATTTGACAGCTCACATGTATCTCTGACTCTTGCAAGTTGCTCTTGGGTTAGACAAAATACTAAAGAAAGCTAATCCAAAAAAAACAAAAAAGGGAGGAGGAAAGATCTTTTTAAATCAAAATTGCTTTTTTTTAGCTTCAAAAATTTTGGTAAAATTTCACCATATTGATGAAATTTCCACTTATCTATCTTGCTTTAGATAAGACTAACCAGTAGAAGAAATAGAGTTGAAATAAAATTACTCTTGCCTTGTGAGGCTAAACGCCTGTCCCCAGTATGTTTCCAGTTTATTTTCTAAACCATGAAGTTTTGGTAGCTTTCAGTGAATGTATGAACTCTCAGCTGCTTACCTAGACAATACTAACATGTTTAAAGATTGCTGAAAAAGTAGTTAGTTAGAACAGACATCACCTGAAACAATTATTTTTGTCAAACAAAACATGAACACAGGCAACATTAACAAAATGCACAAGCTTTTCTTCTTCGTCCATTCAGAATTTTTAATTTGGTTGATAAGTAGTGAAAAATAACTAAAATGTAGCCTTGAAGTATCATTAGCAGATTAAGGAATAAAGACCTGTTATTCCCTGCATTCATTTCATGCCATCTTTAATGAAAGAGCTTATGCAGATTCTTTCCACTACTAACATGAAGTCAGAAGCTTATGTTTCTTACATATCTAAACGGCTCCAACACCAGAGACATACAAAATGTTATACTGAATTTTAATTCTTGTAAAACATTATTACACCACCACACTGTTATAAATCTTTTCAATAACATTCATTACATAATTCAGTAAGGAGCACTGTCTACTACTAAGCACTGTCACATATTTCTGGCAGTATTGGGAACTGACTACAGCGTATTTCTTTTTTAAAACCAAGAGTTAACTTACATATTCTGAACTTGTAAATGATACACAAGAGATTGTACTTCTGTATAGGCTGCAGAGACACTCACTCATTTTTTCTGTATTGTATGTAAGAGTAAATTTTTTAAAACAATATGAAAGAAAATTAATAACTTAATTATCTAGCTAGGAGTCTAGTAGTTATTTTTAATCATATTAATCAAAAGATGACTGATAAAAACAAAGTTAATTATTGTGATGTGCACAATATCTAAAAGATAGGGACTTTCCACAGTACATTATATACTAAGTCAACATGTAATAGATTAAAAGCTGTAAAGCCAAAATCTTCATTTAAAAATTTAGTGTCTCTGACATCATCTTCCACCATTCCATCAACTCTTCTTTCTCCTCTTCTTTTCTTTCAGACAATGACTCCAGTTCAAAATCAACCTGAGTAATAGAAAGAATCAAAAACATTGGTAAGCATACATAGGGAGAGAGAGTGTGTAGGTTTATAAGAGCTGTTTATTGAAAGAAGGTATTTAACATGGACATGGACCTAGAGAAAGTACCTTCCATTTTAGACTAGATTTTTTTCCAAAGATTGATTTAATGTGCAATACTTGTACACCAGTACAATAAACGTATCTAAAAATGCACATAGCTATTGTAGCAAAATTTCCAAAAGAAGCTAGACTTCTTTCCAGTCCTTGACTTTATAAACCCTTCAAAAATATGGGCCTAGGTAATTAGGAATTGAATAACAGCCTAAATCTTTTAGTAGACATTAAAATGTATTATCAGTGTACTGCTATCTAACATCTAGAAATGCAGACCTCCGGCCTATCAAAATATGCTTTCTATTTTATGCCGTCAGGAAAATTGAGGGAGCTTTTCTAACAGATAGCTCATTAGTAGAGATATGATGGGCTAGTATAACTCATCCTAGCATATGATATACACTAGAGAAAGCATCTCTTTTAATTTTTAAGTGTGAAATCCACACCTCTGTGCAGGATGAACTGAGGATACTTCTGAGCTCTTAAATACGGCCTAAGTCTTACTCATCAAATATATTGAGTATCTACATAGTACAGAGCTCCCTCACTATCCTTCTGCATAGAGCTAAACACAGTTTTTAACCTATCCAGGTAGTCCCTTGACAATTTAGATTAAAAACCTCAAGTCTCAATGAAACCTCAACATCTCTTAATTGCATGTCATACTACGTAGAGAGATTCTGTAATCTTCTATCTGATTTGCTGTAAATACATAAATAAAAGCAAGTACAATTGTCTCAATATTATCATTCTCTGTGTCATCACAAGACCAACAGCAGATGAAACATGAGTTTAAAATGAGACTACTCTTAGCCGTTTACACAACAAGTTCTAGAAGGGTAGATTTCCAGTCTGTTTTTCACAATGGCATATATTGGAATTAACCATGAGGAGCAGCGTACTTTCAGAATATACATGTACCATAAAGGAAAAAAATATGAGACTTTTTATTTTTATAAGAGAAGATCAACTAACACACACGTGAGCACTTACCACAACCGCAGGGCTAAAGGGAACAGCTACTTTCTTAGTTATTGCTAAGTAACCTGGTGCTGAAGCTGTAAGTTTGTAATTTCCAGGCACGAGCAGCCTCCAGTAATCACCATCCTTGGCTGTAGAGAAGGAGAAGAAATCAACTCCGAAGAAGTATGCATAGAACTAATTATGCAGCTAAAGAAAAGAGACTGTACGCCTTGTCAGCATCTTTCTTATTCCTGTCAGCCCTTTTCTTTTGTCTGTCTGAAAGGATTCTTCTGTAAGCGCTGTATAAACATAGCATCACAGATTTTCCTCTCTTCAGGTAACTAAAACTTAGATTTAAACTCTGAAGTTGTGCTATACCCCCTCCATGAAAGATTCTGCCTTTTGAGGTTGAAGGCTCTCTAGCACACAGGAAAAAAGGACAGTCTCTAGCCAAGGTACTAGCTAGCTCCTTTTAAGTGTTTGAATTTCTGTTTGCCATGCAACACCTTTGATGTCGCTCAGTATTCTGAAAATTCAAATGTAAATAAACTGTACTCTAATCAAGTTTAAATAAATAGCACCATCGTTCTCAAGTTATTTTGCAGAGAAAGCCTTAAATAATTATTTCATGAGATATTTCACATATATCACCCCTGAAGTATCAATATCTGCACATTCCAGTATCCAGGCGATGTCTGAGGCTTTTCCTTTCATTTAGCTAAAGAATAAATGAAAGCTTGATCCACTGAGGTCAAAGAAAGGCTCCTAGTTACTGAGTATTACTGCAGGGAATCTTTTTCTGTCACAGAATAAAGATGCATGACTCTATATTCTAGAAATTGCCTTCTACCATTTTCTCAGAGAATCAGATCCTGTGTGCACTATAAGCTGCCAATTGTCTAATTCTTCCAGGCTCATATTCTGAAGTTCTCTCTCTCCTCCTCATACACAGAATTTCAGAAGATTTTACAAGGTCTCTTCTAAAAGTCAGGCAGCAATGCCATTTCAAACTCTTGGCCATGCTATTACTGCTAGTTCCCTAAGTGTTTTTCAGCACTTTTGCAGCTACGCAGGGACATTAGAAATGTATAAGCCCAGAGGGAAGTATTTAAATAACTGCAACTCGCATGATCAGAAAATGTCAACAGTCAGTCCATTTCAGAAATTCCTGATTTAAAGAATTTTGGCTTCAAGCTAAGCTGTTCCCAGACCTTTTTCTTCTTAAAAAAGAAAAAAAAATACTGCTGTAGAGCTATGGTAATGATGATTCCATTAACTGGCACTAAAACAAAGCTGAATTTTAAGTCATGAACAAACAAACAGGAAAAAAAGCCAAAACAAATTTATCCTTCATTCTGAATGTGCTAAAAATTGAGTGCTTATTTTCTCAGTGTTTTGACGATACTTGACTTCCAGGCTTATACGCACACAGTGATGTGAGAGGATTCACGAGTAGATGCTTTTCTGTACCACAGAGGCATGAGGTGTAATATTGTATGTATCAATCTCCAATACCTCAAAATATCTCTTTGCATCACTTACTCCCTCTTCATAAACCCTGTCTCATTCCCAGCCTTTATGCTTTGTTCCCTTTTTATATACAGTGAAAGAAGATGGCTCATGTTATTACAGGCAATTCTCCTGCATCTCCTTGCAGGCGATGTGAGAATAAATACACACGGAAGGCAAATGGAGGGCCGATCAGTTCTGTATCACAGTATTCTCTGCCTCTGTAGCGCTACAGAGACGTATCAGTGAGAAAATGTCCACAATGTAAGGTCATGCACAAAGCATTGGCATTTTATTATTGTTTTTCTAATCAGTATCTTGTACAAATACAAAATTGCCATTCAAAAAGAGACCAAATAGGTCTACAGTGAGGACTTCAAGTTGGTACTGTGCAAAGTACCTTTAAATTCACCTCCAGAACAAGGTGCAGCAACAGTGAAGAGCTGACACACAACTTCCTATAAATACCAACATAATATTTTTAGAAGGGCAGTTCTAAAAGAGAGAAGTATGTCACATAATTGTAAATAGCAGGTAAAATTTATCTTCACAGAAGGCAATTAGGTAAACTGAAAATCTGTCAAGAATTTACATACCAAAGGTATGATCACCTCATAAGTAATATAAGAGATTTAGATGGCAATTTAGCTTTTATACTCAAAACAGCACTGCAAACAGGACATTAAATCCTGCTAGAGCTGCGAAACACTGCCTGCAGCCCAAATCAGAAGGCAAGCTAAGCATGAGTCAGCAACAGCCATCAGAAATGATCTACAACACATCCTGTCAAGTCCCAACAACCAGGTTTTAGCTCATTTCAAAGTAAAAGAGAAGAGTAAAATTCATGAAATCCTGAGGTAACAACCTTCTTGAGACACAACATGTTTGCCTAGCTTCAAATCTTGTTCACTTAAATAAGCTTCAGCTGATAAGATCTGCAACTGTCTGACTCTAGCACTTCTTGTTTTCTTGAAGTACAACACTCACCTGATGTAATGTCATGGCTTATTCCCTCCACAGAGATTGTAGCATTTGCTATCGGATTGCCCTGAAGATCTTTAACAAACCCCTTCACTCCTCGATGAATCTGAAAAATAAATAAAGTTATCAACACATGGGAAATCATCGAATAGTTCTTTAGAAAAGGTGGCTGTTTCAGTCAGCAAAGTATCTATGGATGTATCTAATGATGTATGGTATGGATCCCACAGTTTACATGCTGACAGCTATCAAGGATAACTGTTAAACATCATAATGGAATGAGCAGTGACTCAGTCAAAAGAACTCAGCTGTTGGCTATGCTAATTTCTTCACTCCATGCAAACATTTCTTGTAAATATGCAGCAAACCATGACAGCAATGAACACTCACTTGAAACTCTTTGATACTGGGAATTAATGAATGTTCTGAAAAGTTTTGAAAGGCAGTCTGAAAAACAACTTTTTTAGTTTCTTCAACTAGTTGAAGAATTTAGGGCTAATAAAGGACGTAACTGCTTAGAGGTCAAACACGAACAAGGTTGAATTTAAGCACGTGGACTTCCACAGGCAATCCAGAACCCTGCGTGAGATGCCTAAGCCCTCTGTCTTGTGCATCCCTATCCAGGCCTTTGAGCTGGGACCATTTAGAGTCACAGCGCTCCCTACATGGCCTGCGAGACAGAGGCTGTGATGGGTCATGTCTAATTCCTTTTTGTCTCTCAGCAACACACTCTGGGCTGCAGAAGGACATGCATTGACCTCTTGGGATCACAAGCTTGAAAATCTCTCCACTGAGTTTCAAAGAAGCGAATGAGACTCCCTGCTTTCTTTAAATTCAAAGGAGGAATAGCAATTGGACTAACATTTAATGTGAACTATCAAAACACTTGGGGAGCAAGGATCAAATTTAGAATAACTTCCTGCTTTGCCACCAGTAAGTACCAGCTTTACCTAATCCTTTTCTGCCTAGCATACATAAAATTAGAGCCACGGTCTGACTACAGCGTGTGGGGAGACCAGTCCTGCTGGTGTTTCTTTTGCATGCCCTGAAAGCAGACTGATCTCCTCAGAGGAGATCACTTGAGGAAGAGCTACTTTCTGACAGAGGTAGGTATTGACCTCTCAGCAGTGGGAAGAACTGGGAAGTTTTGAACCTGTGCCAACACCCATCTTACTGGGGGCTTAGAAATTAAGCAGGTAAGTGTTGTGGTGTTAAGGCACCTCCCTGATTCTATGGCCTTTGAAAAGAAGACTTGGGGCCAGACTCTCTCCTCCGTGGTGCCCAGTGGCAGGACAAGAGGCAATGGGCAGAAACTGCAACACAGGAAGTTCCACCTGAACCTGAGGAAAAACTTCTTTCCTGTGAGGGTGACAGAGCACTGGCACAGGTTGCCCAGAGAGGTTGTAGAGTCTCCTTCCCTGGAGATATTCAAAACCCGCCTGGATGGGACCCTGTGCAATGTGCTCTAGGTGACCCTGCTTGAGCAGGGGGGTCGGACTAGATGATCTCCAGAGGTCCCTTCCAACCTCAACTGTTCTGTGATTTTGTGATTCTGTGACTTCAGGATCACAAATCTTATTTTGAGATTCCTGAGTTCATATACATTCACTTTTAAGAACCTATATGATGTATTCAAGCTGCTATAATTTAGTTCACCAGATTCCTCTCATTTGCACAGTGGGACATGCCTGGCAGACATCAGCTCAGAAAAGCAGAAAGTACATATCTGCACTGTCCTCAACAACCACCAGAGAGCTGGACTGTAGAACTGGACCTCTTATTCTGTAAGAGGATAAAAAACACTGCCAGATAAACCATCTGAATTTCCAGGATAAAGCCAGCAGCTCCGCAGGAGCAAAGGAAGTTGGCAAATTAAGCTCTCACACATTAACAACTATGAAAATACAGTGACACCATACTTTTCAATGAGTTAGAGAAAATTAAGCTATGTGCAAAGGAGCTAATCAAGTGCTGGACAGCAGAGAGATAGACCCCATAATAAAGGGGTAAAAACCTACAGTGCAGATACAGCCTTTTCCTCAGCCCACATACAGCTTACTAACCAAACTGTGTAACCCACAC